CGCATTCTCAGGCTGAAGTCCCTTTGAGTTTATTGTACTTGAGAAAGCCTTACAACATGCTCAATCACCCATCATCAAAAGAATTGAATGCCTTTTTAATTTGTGGTTAGTGAGTAGAGAACTTCTTAAAACTTAGTATACAGGAGTTTATTCAAGTAAAGAGAAGATCATGGGAATTTTGGAATTTTTCCCATTACCACAACCTAATTATTTCCTGACAAGTGGAATTGAGATAGATAAATCAATCGGAAGAAAAATTTATCTTCTTTTACGCGTATACCCTCTAAATTGTCGATAACCGCAGTTGTCGATATTGGGTCAAATTAATAAAATGAACTCGAGTGAATCCATTGCGTAATATCTCATATCCAAATCGTTCTTCTAAATAAATCATCTCTTGAAACAGCTCGTAGGAGTAATTCCACTTTTTGACTAATGTCTTTAGGTAGAATCTAGAAGAGGCATAGGATGGTATATCTGACAAGTAACTTTGGGGCATATTTACTTGTAGAAAGTAACACATGTTTTAGGACAACCTGCGAACAATGTGGATTGCGACTTGTTCGTCCCTCTCTCTTAGTCAGGCACATGATTAGAGTCCACTCTAAAAGAGCATTTTCATGCGAAGTGGGTTATGTGTTTTCATATTTGAAACCTCGACTGATTTTGTTCATTTTTTGAAGATTGAAGCTCCCGGTTACAGTAATTACCGCATTGCTGTGGATTCCGACAGGGTAATTTGGACATGCTGTAACACACAGTTTTCGAACAGGTTAGATATCACTTTGTCTCCCGTCTTATTCCGTAAGAATATACTTCAGACGAGATTTTTACGTACATCGAGTCAGCGCTCACCTTGAAAAATTAGCACATGGTGGTGCTCCTTCAACAGAATATCAAGCATATCAAGAAAGCCCTCATCCAAATGGTGCTCTAAGTACGCTTGTGCTTTTCCGTTTACATCCCACACATCTCTTGGCAATATAATGGAGTCCTTTAGCTCCTGGTGCTGGTGTTTGTGTAGAAAATGCAGAGGGCATCTCTTATATGGGTAGAATTGAAACGGGTCCAGATGGCACTATGCAAGTGAGTTGTATTATTCTTTATTCTACATAAAATAATATTAAAGACTTTTGATTTTCTCATGCACATATCGGACTCATAAAGAGAGGTAAACTCCTGACAACTTGTAACATCCTAAACTTGTACAATTTATGCCAGTTTGCGAAATTTCATTTTATTACTGAGAAATTTGAGCCGGTCCGTACTTTAAAGGCGATTCTGAGTTCTTGGCATATTTGGGATTGTTTCTCTGTTTTTACCCCATATCAATCTATCGAATCGTCGGATCAATTCGTTGCTTTTTCAAATACAAACACTCTGAAACCAAAGGCCTTGCGTACGACTTACACATCAGAGGAGAACTCTTGCTTTATAAAAGGGTATGTCTCAGGTGGAAAATTGAGTTATTTCCACACTTGTCCTATCCAAAATCTCGGGTTCCGCTTGAAATTTACCTGGTAAAGTTTAGAAGGCTGATCACGAAAATCATATCCTTTTCTGTATGTGATGACGTCAGACTACATATTAAAGCTTTAACATTTTTGTAATCCAAAACTCCCTCCAGCGCACTGTGTTTTCATGTCTTCAGTTTTGAACACTTTTACGGTGAAAATTTGTTTTCTCTTTTTCTCGGAAGATATATATTCAGGTTGTTGTTCCTCAAGACGTTATGAATAGCAACAGTGATTTTTACGTTGTAATAGACGACGATGTAACTCTAGATAGAGAATCTCAGGTAAGCACAGCTTGCAGTC